TTTTTTTTTTTTTTTTGTTTAATTGAGGTCTTTTTTTTGCTTCATGTTGACTTTTTTTTTCTGTGAGTTCTCGGGGATACTCAAGACTTGTAAGAATCGTGGTTTTCCCTTGACAACGTTTTCTGGGAGGAAAATCTCTAGATTTTGATGGTAATAGCTTAAGTAAAAAAAAATTTTTTTATATGATTTTTTGGGGAGGGGGCCGTCGTGCCCCAGAAAAAAAAAAAAATTTTTTTTCGATTTTTTGCAAAATGTCGACTGATTCGTTCGAAATAGATGGAAAATAAATGAATTTGATGGTTAAAAGCCACAAAATAAAAAAATTTGCTTAAGGGGGCCGTCGTGCCCCAGGCTCCCCTATCTTGACGCTCGAAGTTGCGTTTGACAAAGAGCCGTTTGCCCATTTTAAAATTACGCGCGAGTTTTTTCATAAATAAAACTGTTATTTGAGTGCGACAAGTTTACTTGTCGCACGCAAATTATTCTTGGCGAACTCAAACTATCCTTGTCGCATTCAATTGACTGTGAAAACTGCTAAAATTAAAATATAAATAACAAAAAAAAAAAACACTTTTAATGCGTACAACTACGAGTAGCAGTCTGAATAGCGATCGTCACGATCCATTCGGGTGCCATTCACGTTACTATTGCTACCGTTAGTATACAGTTTTCCTAACCTCACTATCCTCTAGATAGCAAAGTGTGTATCGTGACAGTAGCAATATCGTATCGTGCAGAGCAGAAAACCTTGTGAAAAAAGTATTTAATATTACTATAGAGGTTAGGAGAAAATTTTCACAAGGAACGTTAACCCTTAATATTATTAATCAACGCTATAAAGTAATTCTACAAGACTAAATTTTTTATATGAATTGAACATTTATGATAATCATAACTCTTAATTTATTTTTATTCAATTACTTTAATTGGAAATTTTCAAACATTCAATTTAATTCTATATGAAATAAGCTGATATAAAATATAACAAAGAAAATAATGTCTCAAGGGTAACTGTAATTAGTAAGAAAAAAAAAAAAAAAAAAGTAGAACAACGTTAAATTGAGTTAATTGTTATTTTTTTTCACGAAAATTATTCAATTAGTAAAACACTTTTAAATAGTTACAAGTTAATTTTCATCATTATAATCGACCATGATAATTTGTCATTGTTATATGAAACATAAAAGAAAATTACTAGACAAGACTTGAACAATAGCTTGGTAATTAGTTGAGTGGACGACAACGAGCTTGAGTAGCAAGAGGCATACCCAAGTGTGCGCTTTCAAATCTTTATACTTTTCTCTTCCTCTGTTTCACCCTTTTTCTCTACTGCATATACTCCTTTACAGGAAAACCCGCTTATATAATAAAATCCTTATTTTTATTTTTTTATTTAGTAAACAATGAAATAAACAAGCATCGGTATCTACTCTTCGACTGATGTGTTTTATGGAATTAATTAAAAACTAACCTGAACCCGTGCTTCTGAAAGTTCCAAGTTGGATGCAAGCGCTTCTCTATAATTAACATCAGGGTACTGAGTTTTCTCGAATGCCTTCTCCAACTGATGAAGCTGATGAGTGGTGAAGGTAGTTCGCGATCTCCGTATTTTTTTAGGTCGATCCATATCATTCATTTCTGGCAAATCAGATAAAGCTGGTAATTCTTTGAAATCCGGGATATCCGAGTCTCCAGATCCTCTCACGTTGCGTACAGATTCCAGTAGATTTGCATGATCTGAAATGGCCATTATTATATTTAATTCTCAAATGGATATCTTAACATTATATCAATTTGAATATTTTGCTTGCTAATATATTTTTATACTACTAAAACAAAAATAATAATATCAAAGCGTCACTTTAAAGATATGTGGAAGATAAATTAAAAAAATATGGATATAAATAAAAAAAAATTAAAAATAAATATTAATAACATAGTTTGAAACGAATATAGGATACACATGAATTGAAAAACTATAAATTCAACGATATATTATTTTTTATTTCATTTTTTTAAGCTTCTTGATACCCAATCGTTACCCAGCTTGCCGATTTATGGATCGTCAATATGATCCATATATCGATGATGTCTGACCGACGGATTTGCCAATTTTTAATCCTCAAATATTTTATTTTTATAGTCCCCTTGAATACTGATAACCCTCAACTGATTTTTTTTTCCCCCACCTCACTTGGAGATATATGTACATATAGGTACACACACCCACCCATATGTGATCTGTGATATGTGATGTCTATGCATATCATCTCTCACCCGATACTGTAGACCTCTCGAGCTCAATATTAGTACACATGTACTAACATTTCCCGATTTCGCTTCAGTATAAATGCAATCGTTTGGTCGATTAGTGATTATTATTTTACGATGTTTTAATTCTAAACTTTAGAGCTGAGCAAACAGTTACAGTTACTCTTCTTAGCATGTGCTATAACAGCAAGATTCGCTTCAAAATATTTACAACACAGAAAAAAAATTTTACCTGAATAAAGTAAATGATTTTGAAAAACTTCATCTTCTCAATTTGAGTAGAAAAATTCTTAAACTAAGAAATTTTTATTGTTTTAAATAATTTTACTTGATCCAAGAATTTTTCTTTTGATTCAAGTATTTTTTTTTTTTCAGTAAAGAAATATAAATTGTTAGAAAAATTTCCAAAAATAATCTTTGACAAAGTGAAAAATTTTATGCTACAATAAACCAAAAAAAAATTGTTTTTCACATTTTGAGTATGATAATGAATAAAGTTAATAATTTAATTAATTAGCTGGAATAAGTCAATAGCTGGAATCCCAATTAAACAGATCTTAACACGTTAATTCCATACAGGATACTTTTGATATAATATTGAGGTATCACGAGCAGAACATAACGCTGAGTCTGCGAATAAGATACTCATACTATCTCGCACACGAGCTCGAAAGGTACCCATGTGCTTATATAGACATATATTACTACATATTCCTCTTCTAATGTACACATCCGAGCGTATTCAGCATCAGGTAATCGCACTCACACGAGCAAGCGCGCCAACAGACACGCGGGCATGTAGAAGCTAATCCACTATGAATAGAGAGATTTTAATGTTTTTATGACGTAGCACAATGGGGTACCCACTTCATGTCCAAGCTCACTTCATTGATTTTTATAAAATGTTGTACCAAAGCTACACTCTGCTTTTGAGAGATCATATTCGATTTAATGAAAAAAAAAAAATAAATAAATAACTAAAATAATATGAAATACTAATTTTCATTATTTCTCATTTACAGAAATAAAATTACTTACACACTAACATAAATCTTTTATCTCAACTTTTTTTTTCTTTTATCATTACCTTTTTAAATACATCTCTTAAAGACTATAATTGCAATGCGAAGCTATATTAATATTAACAACAACAAAATTTTAATTTTCTAATTAAATGTTAATTTATTTCTAATAAACCCATCATCAAAAATTATAAAGTTTTAAGAGCAAACTGTGCAATTATTTATTTAAAAAAAATTGTTGAGTTAAATTGAAAAAATTTTGCAAATTTTACCAAAAAAATTACAATAAATTAATTACATTATAAATATAATAAAATACCTTCATCTTTAGCGTGACCCAAAATTTGATCAATGCTGTAAACATTCCTCTTTTGATTACAAGTTTGCGCCATTATTTATAAATTTTTGTCAAACAAATATTGCCCAATTTATAACGATTGGTAAAACAAACAAACAAACAATCATTGATCACTCAAAATAATAACCAAAGTTATAATTATAAAAACCACGTGATCAATAAATAATAACAATAACTATTTTAACAAATATCACCGTAAATTATCACGTTAATAAAAAAATATATTTAAACGATACAATATTGCAGTTGAACTTAATGCGTTTAGAATTGTAATTGTAATAGTAAACAATTAAATAGAACAAAACAACCCTCGCGTACAGCACGACGTTTCGGAGTGGTAACTGTCGGAGGAATGCGTGATTCAACGGCGCAACACGGACTACCCTTGGTAAACGAAAGTGCAGCCCTTAATAGTACGTATTTTCGCCCCACCTCACTCACGCTGACACCGCCATATTAGCTTCTAACCCAATAGCTGTACGACGTTTGCACGCAAGCTCTCTCACTTGTCGAGAGTTGAATGATGCTCAGGGCGGGGAATATTTTACTCTTTCGCGTAAATCTGTCTTTTTCTCCCTATATCAACCCCTCTTATTCGCTTCTTTCCGGGCATTATAGTTGCTTATACTCATTCGTGTATTATTTTATCACTGTCAGTTATCTCTTCTTATTATATTTTTTATTTTTCTTTCCTTTTTTTTATATGTAATTGCTTTATATTCCATAGAAACCACCAGAATAAATCTGCTTAATAAGGAAATCCTTTCGCTCCAGTTGAGTCAAAACAATTGTAGTAACCAATATACGATAAATTAAAAAAAGAAACCCATAAAAATTCCTAAAATTAAATAATAAATAGTATATGAGGCATTAATCGTTGAAATTTTGAAAATAAAAAAAAAAAAATAGTTAAATACAAAAATTAATTTGACTCTTTCAAATCAACTGCTAGTAACCTGTCCGTGATTTGGCAACGCTGTACTTCGGTTGTTTACATTTTTATTTGCACAATATAACCTTAACCACGTTTAAGTTTTTCCTTTCGCCGCCAATGTAAAATAAAAAATATTAGATTATAAGTAAATTCAATTTTTTTCTAATAGTTAAGGTCCTTATTTATCTAATAGTGAGGTTTAAAAATTTGTCCGGTAAAGTATAATTTAAACCTCACTATTAGATAAATAAAGACCTTAACTATTAGAAAAAAATTGAATTTACTCATAATCTAATATTTTTTATTTTACATTGGCGGCGAAAGGACCTCCTTAATGCTACGCTATAGTATATTCACTCGAGTTTTTGCATTCACCTTTAAATTATCCCAAGTATCTTAATTTAGTCAAATTTAAAATAACACTAATCCTTTAATATAGTTTTTCTGTGAATTATGTCTGTAAAGAAACGAAAAATATATAATTATACGATTATACGATGGACAATGTTGAAGTTGTGTAATTTAAAGTACAAAATAAATAACCACAAAATAAATAATCGATATTTTAAGTTTTTTTTTTAAATTCCATAACAATCTTTAAAATACTTTAATCAAATGAAATTTAACAATCATCCTGACTTTGTTAACAATTTGCTACGAAAATTGCAGTATATCTTCTTGAATATATATTTTAATTTTTTGTTTACTCTACTATAAAAATTAACTTAATTACCCAGCATGTAGAAAAATATTATATTCTAATATAATCTGAATATTATAATTTTTAAACTAAGTAAAATTTATTTAAACTGAGAAAAACTAATTTGAACTAAGAATAACCTTTAGATAAATAACTTTTTTGTTTGATTCAAGATATTTAAATTCTTAAAAATGATCTTTTCCGTTGAAGATTTTTGTTTTTAATTAAATTTCAATAAATTAATTAATTGTTTTTTTCTATGTGTGCATGCGAGTATAATTTGTCGTAAATTATTTTCACCTATTTTCAAACTTTCATTTGAGAAAAAACTAAATATAATATGTTAACTTTATGAATATAGTATCACTAAAAAAATATCATTTCATTTTTTGCATATGTCAAAAAATTTTAGTTTTGCTTAGTATATGCTTTCGTTTTTATAGAATTTTCTGAGTACCACACCTCGTTCAAAAATTATAAAAAACTTACACTCGATGGCAAACATATATTATGACATTTCTTTAATAATAATCAAAACAACTTTTATGTCATTAATACTTAGAATTTGGGCAAAAGTTTTGTTGGAAACTCGACAGTTAATTAATTTTAATTCTACAAGACTCAAGGAATATTAAATATTCTTATATCTTTTAATAATTTTATCAACTTTATATTAGATGTTATAAAAAAAAATTTATCAGAAATATTTTTTTCCTATTTTTTGTAATTCAATTATTCTTCTACTTAAGAAAATTAAAAAGGATATTTTTAAAATAAGAAAAATCATCGTTAAAGTCGTGTCATTAGCATGGCATTAACGAGTTAGCGCCACCTAAATGAACTGTAATGCTTTAACAATAGAGCTTACATATGCAGTTGGAATGTCGTATTCGTTTAGAACGGAGTAGAGAGTTCTGTTCTATTCAGTAGACAGGTACATTACAAACCGAAGGTATTTAAATTTTATCCCTTTTGTTGAGATAATTGCGAGAAATAGGATCACAGACATTACTTTCGACAGCTCAATCCAAAAAAAAACCCAGAAACTAAATTCGTTTATGCCTATTATCCTATACTTATTCTAAGATAACGCCTTTATACCTATTAAGAGTCTTAAATCCAGTAGTCTATAATCCTGAGACGAGCCCGACATTCTGTGTTACTTACCGAACAAACGAAGTGTATTATTCGGGTTGACCTATGGTATATAGTTAATTTACATCAGACATAACACAACATTTTTATTGTTTTATAAAAGAATAGATTCTAAATTCTATTTTTTACTTCATCCCTCTATGTTTCACAATCATCACTCTGATTTTGGTTCTCAATTCAATTTTATTGTATTTTTAGTTCACCTATAATAATTTCAGATTTGTCTTTAAAAAATCATACACAAACTATCTAAATAAGCAGTGATTATCGATAATAAAAAGAAAATTAAAAATAATTAATTCTAGCGCGAATGTCGACCACACCCACGAGAATAGGTATAGGGAGGAGCGAGATGATCTGACTGTATAACGGGCTTTATGATGCAAATAAACCGCCCTACATGTTCGTTCAACTCGACCCTCATCACAGAGGTAATACCCCGAAAAACATAAACGTCATCACGCTTCAAACGAGTCCACGCTGCCATGTGCGCTAAACAATTTATGGGATTGAAACAATCCACAATGGCGACTTGTGCTTCTTTTTCCCAAATTTAAAGTGTAAACACAGACGGTAAAATGTATTCAGCGAAGTGAAGATGATCTAATGATAATCTTTAGCATTTTAACGAAGGTAATGCTTTACAGGTGGTTTTAAACGGATTACTTTTAATTTTAAAAGAATTTTCAAATTATGTTACCTGCACTGAAAAAAAAGTTTTTTTCCTCCTAGAAAACTTTTCCCTGTGTTTAAAAAAAAGTATTCCTAAAATAAGAATACCAAAGTTTACTATCCATAGGAATAAGTTTACTGGATATAAAAAAAACTTGGTATTCTCATTATTAAAATACTACAATCAATATGGCCGACTTAACCTCGCTTGGTCGACACGAATCTTTAG